CCGCTCCGGGATAGATAGGACCTCTGATACCACTCTGATACCGCTCCGGGATAGATAGGGCCTCTGATACCGCTCTGATACCGCTCCGGGATAGTTAGGACCTCTGATACCGCTCTGATACCGCTCCGGGATAGATAGGACCTCTGATACCGCTCTGATACCGCTCCGGGATAGTTAGGACCTCTGATACCGCTCTGATACCGCTCCGGGATAGATAGGACTTCTGATACCGCTCTGATACCGCTCCGGGATAGTTAGGACCTCTGATACCGCTCTGATACCGCTCGCCGGGATAGTTAGGACCTCTGATACCGCTCTGATACCGCTCCGGGATAGTTAGGGGCGGAGACGCGGGCGGTTACCGTCAGGAGATGAAGATGGGCACGTGACTCTGGCCGGTCGGGCCGGCACATGACCTCATGTGTCCGTGCAGGATACCCGAGCCCACCACTCATTGCAGGGATAAGTGCCCATTACGGACGTGCAGGAGACCTGGTGAAATCTCATGCAGGGCATGGCCTGGCGGCGCGGTGCGCCCGCAGGCCTCTGTCGGACCGGCGCCGCGCACGTCACGGTGCGGGCGCGGCACGCGCTGCTCCTCCGAAGTCATAACACGCAGGACCACATCAGGCGTCCGTCGCCAGTTCGGGGTCCTATCGACCTGCCCGCTGGGACACGTGACATCGGCTTTGTAAACGTATGCTTTGGACGCCAGCGGTGTACCGTCAACGTCATTCAATGCCCGAGACGACAGCTGCGAGCCGTCCGAACTGGGCCAGAGCTTACGTCAGTCGAGATGTGCGAAACGCCCGGCGGCCCCGGCACCGTTCGGGACGAACCTACGCTCGACAGGCCACACGACCACCATGAGCACCGTGAGAGAGGTGGCAACAGGCGTCCTCGCGCACAGAGGCGGTGTCTTTCCGCAGGGCAGCTGGGCAGTGGTCTTCGCAGACACCGCAGAGGCTCTCCCAACAGGCGACCCTGAAGTCACTGAATGCCACCGCGGACGTCACCAGCCACGAGACACCATGCCTGGCCTGGTCAGACCCGCTGCGTCTGTCAGGGCACGTGCCCAGCCTCAGCTACACACTGCAGTGGCACCTATGTTGGCCGCACTGGCTGTTTGTGATGACACAAGCCGACGCCTCGTCCGGAGTCGGACCGTGGCAAGAACAGCGCAACATCAGTCACAATTTTTTGTTAGGTACGTACCCAAGAGGAGCTTGACAATTCTAGGATTGACACTAAAGGTAACCTTTTCTAAATAACATCATCTAACCAATGCCTCCTGGTACACTGTAGGTTGATAATTCAGCATAAGAACTGAAAGCAAGCATTGCATTTCGGCACCATGGGTGCATTCCATGGAGACAGGGGTTAGGAAGACAAACCCTTACAGAACGATACATATTCAGTCAATACATATTCAGCTAATAAATCGATAGAACCACCATCACAATCCAGTTTTTTAAACCTAATGAATCCATGGAAAGATGGCCAGCTAGGCCGATGGGGTGAAGCTGCCAGCGGTGGCGGCCCGGCCCGTTCGGGCTGGCCAGTGCCTGTCCGGTGCGTAGCCATTTTATCAGTTCTCTCGTGAGGTGGTCACATTTCACTGGACTTGTCACTCCCCTCCAGCCAATAGCTGCTATACCCCTTTTCGAAAAATAGTCCACCTTCATAGAAAGAAACTTCAAAAATCACTGCGCAAAATATTTATTGGGAACATCCTCAGCCTGGAATCACCCAGCATGAGCACTCGCGCCGGCAACGACAAAGTTGCATTAACATTATATTCATGAGTGACTTGCCAATGAAATGTCGGGACGGAGCGGAACCTTTTCCAACTGTTGGCTTACATGGTTTGATTTAAGATAGCGTGCGCCTGCAGTCTCGGTTTATGAAATACGGCTCATCTTTGGTAAGGACAAAGGATATCAAAGGCATGTGTACGAAAATGCGTATTCCTTGCTGAATTATGCAGTAACCCAACAAGGGGACTGTCACTGTCA